ACTGGATTTGTCTTTGTGAAAAAAAAAAAAAAAAAAAAAAGAATTAAATAAAAAAAAAAAAAAAAAAAAAAAAAAAAAAAAAAAATTTAAACGCTCACCCACAAAAGAATAAAACATATAACAGAAGTAAAAATGTGACCTAAAGGATAAATAATTTTATCTTGTTTTCTTTTTATCAAAATTGAATTTAAAACCATTCTGTTTATTAAAGACATATAGCAAGTCATAAAACAAACATCTTAACAGTCTTAACAGAATTGATGTGCACAATTCAGTTTTATTAAGTATGAATTTAAAATATGTATTTCCGTTTAGCTTGATATTCCCTTTAGACCAACACCTTCAACACTCATACACAATATTTAAGTTGCCCAAAAGCAATCAACACGGACTTTGTAAAGACTAACAAAAATACATTGTAAAACAGTCTGAAATATTCTTAAATGTTGAAAAAAAATCAAATAAAAAACAAAGGATGTGTTCAATGGAATCTAAGCAAGTTGCTGGAAGTACCGAAAGGCAGAGATTCAGTACACAGAGGTAGCTCAGTAAGGGTACTTGCAGTGTTCTGATTATTTAGCGTTGACACAACTGCAGTCAGCTACTGTCTGCTTGAACTCCTGCTATGTATTTTAAAATACAAGGGAACACTGCCTCTGGGCCTGTTGTCTCACCATTCAAAACCAACAGAAAGAGTCATTGATTTCAGTGGGATTGGGATCAAATATCTGGATTTTTTTCTCTGGAAATTCAGGTTTATGGAAGCAGAACATAAAGAAACTGTCCTGAGTCTGGATGCTGTCCCCTGTTATAAGTGGGGATTTTAAACCCGGAGGAATTTTTTCCCATATGGAACCAGTTACCACTTAGAATGCTTAAGGAAGTGGAACCTTGAATTTGGCCCAGGAACTCTCCAGTTCCTAGCAGGTCTGTTGGTGGATCTGCCTGTGCTATCTAGGGGTGCATTGATCTGCCCAGTGGGAAGAGAGCAGAGCCCTGGGGACATGGGCAGTGCACAGTGTCCCTCAGCCCTCTTGCCTACTCAGCAGGGAGAGCTTGATCCCCCTTCCAGGGAGGGAAAGAATTCATCATGTGCCACCTCCCATAACTTTGTCACATGGTCCTTTTATTGGTGTGCCAGTTCTGAACAGGGTGATGCTGTCAGCTCCCCACAGTTTCTCATACAGATGGCAACAGGGAGTGGCCATCAGATAAAGCACCGAGCGTTGGTACCAGATTACTTTTTTCCTGTTGCTCACAGGACTGGAAGTAACAGACTAGGTAAACCAAGCACATTATTTTGTTTTTTAGTAAGGCAAAAGGATATTAATTTCACATGCCTGTTGTCACATAGAACATCTCCAGTGTGTGTAAAGACTTACAGCCTTATCAGAGCTCTGATAATCTACATTTGCTACAGACTTGCTCCAAGGTGTTTGCACTCAGCTACACCTTTAGCTGCAATGTTAACCATGACACACATGGCAGCTCTGCATTTATATCGATTCCACATTGACCTATTCCTTTCCTTACTTCATATTTTAATGCACAATTGCCAGCACAGTTTTTGCAGATGGGCACACGCCTCAGTCTGGACTACAGCATGTTTCTGAAATCTTCATCTTTCAGACAAGATGTAGTGCTAGCTGCATGTTTAAATATGTGCCTGCATTCCTCTCTCTTCAACACCTAGAAACAGTATTTTGTATTCTTTTTTACCTAAGTTTATTAGAAAGAGTAATATTATTTTTTTAAAAATTGTGATTGATTGCCAAATGAGCTAAGATAGCGTTTCTGTTACTATAAGGATCCTTTTAATTAGCAAAAAAAAAAAATTGTCAACTTTCTTGTCCTCATAAACTACTATTCATTACCAATGTAGCAATAGAGAAAACATAGCTTGTCTTACTACAATAAAGGCTCTGTTTCCGCATCCTAAATTCTCTGTGCATGTCTCTGTGCATTGCACAGGGGGAAGGAAAAGAAAAAAAGAATACCAAAAATTTGTGTTCTTCAGGGGTAAATGATAAAAAGATCTCCTAGCTGCAAACACAAATACTTCACTCATAACCCAAACACCAGACCATTTCTTTTGAAGAAGCTTATGAGGCATTTAAGATATACAATGGCACAATATCATACAATGGAATTGAAAGAATTTTCTTGAGATACCATTAACTTTGAAGGAATGTCTAGACAACTGTGTCAACAAATGCAAATAATTCATGCTTTTCAGCTTCTATCCATTGGATGGCCCCATGCTGAGTATACACAAACTCAGAAGAAAAAGGCATGTCACAGTCATATGACTAGGGAGTGTAACAGAGTCACACAGAAATTCAAGTCAATCTCAGAAAAAAACCTTCAGAAAGCTCTTCCCCAAGAGAAGAGCTAGTAAGCCAGCAGTGGGATAGGCTCCTGGTCATTTTGGCTAGTTTAAAACAGAGACTTGCTGCTGGTACGCCCTGGCTTCAAAGCAGGGGCAACGGAAGAACCAGCTGTCAGTCATGACCATTCACTTTGTTAGAAAAATAAACTAAAGGACTCCAAAATACTGTACAACCTCTTGCAGCAACCAACAAAGTGGCTTCTGAAAACAATGCTTTTGCCAAAAATGCATCTGTAAGGCACTTAACAGGTATCTTTTAATATATATATATATATATATATAGATATATATAAAAAAATAAAATATGCACTAAAGCAACATTCACAAAACCCAGCTGTGTCAATTGTCCATGTGTACAGTATAGTACATATATACATTCACTGTGACACAGGCCATCTCCACAATTATACCTTCACGGGTGCTTTGGGCTGCCTGGTTAGTTTCAGTGCCTGTGAACAGGAAACAAAAACAGTCACTTTTTCATGCCCTTAAAAGACAAGCAACAGCACAAGGTAAGAGTCTCATTTATAAAGGGCAAGGAAACACTGTGTGTACTTCTGAGTGGCTGCGAGAGGAGTCAGCGTGCAGCAGCCAGGCTGTGGGATCCGAGATGATCTTTGCGTCTCCCATAGCCCATCACAACCTCCTCTTACACTGAGAGCCTTAACAGAGGAACCACAAGGACTGTGACTACAGTGCCAGTGAAGGAAGCAGAGATGAGTCTCAGATGCCTTTTACAAAGTGACCATTTGGACCCCAGTCAAACCACTCGTGGCACAGATAGAAGAGCTTCAGACACACTTAAGGAAAGACAGTGAAGAAAATTTGTGCCAACACCTTTGTGTCCCTGGCTTCCTTCCACATGGCTCAAAGCCTGCTCAGAGGATAATCACTGCTGCAGTAGTGGATGTCATGCACATTTGATGTTTATACCTTCCTTTCTGAGAAAAGGTATGAAATAGGCAAAGTCCATCAGTCCAGAGGTGATCTTATGGTGGGGGACACCTGACATCTTTGTAGCTCCATTGCTGCCGAGGAAGAAAGAAACCCCCTTCCTTTTTGATGGCAGGGTCCAGCTCTGTATTCCTCACAGGGCTGGCCAATTATGGGAGCTGAGCTATTTATTTAGTGTGTGACAGAGGTTCAGCTCAGTGCTCATGCTTCCAGTTTGGCAGGAAGCAGCCTCTCTAAGTAAGGAGAGAAACGTGATAGGCTCAGAAAGCATTAGGTTTTCAGCTGCTGCTGTACAGCAGCATGGGCACTGGGAAGGATAATGGCTCTTGGTATGCTCAGCAGCAAAAAAAGCTCTATGACTTCTTAGGTGGGATAAATTGGCCCAGGTGAGAGGAATTTAGACAAATTAGCAAATTCCTTAAATTTGGAACCTCTATTTTTCTGAAGGAAGTCTTCTGGGTGAAGAGCCCTGACAGACTGGCATTTGCCTGAATTCTTGTTTCCAGCAGGTTGGCTAAACAAGCAATTTTCAGTCTGAGAGATGCCTGATGGGGCTTCATATTGTAGATATTAACCTTTAATATTGTACACTTAAAGCTTGTAAGCACTGTTTGAAAATCACTCCAGCACAAATGTAAACCCTTAAAAAACCCCTAAACCTTTAAAAATAAATGGGATATGTTCCCCTCAGAAACACCAGCATTTAACAATTGTTAAATCCAACCCTTTGAGATTAGTCTTTTGGATATTATTCAGCAAGAGACTTTGGAGAGAGAGACATCATTCCACACTTTGTTTGGGGAAACAATTTTTTAACTTTGTAGTTTGGCAGATTCTGCTACCATATTTACAAAGTAGAAATACCTTAGTGTAGATGAACCTCTAAATATTTAAATTCAATTTCATACAACCCGATCACATGTACTATCATAATTAAGTAAGAATGTCACTGCAGTTGAGTACTGTGACTGGATAACTGCCTCCCCCTGCAAGAGAGATGCCAAAATGAAGCCAAGGTGTTTGTAGAAAATAAACATCAAGGGTGATGATGACATGTTTATTTTCAAAGCAGGAGACCATTATCCAGTCACAACATTCACTTCTATTATACTTATTGCAACTGTACCAGACCCAACCTCATTGATTTTTTTCAAAGAGTAATTAAAATAACATTTGTGAATAATACAGAAGACCAACTGAAGAAACTGCAGCAACAGAACAACAATCCCCCAAAGTGGTTCTACAGTGGCATTACAGTCTGCTTAGCACAGGAGGTTTATTTGATGCTTAATGAATAAGAAACTAGTGCTGGTGAACTGTAAATCTCTCCAGTACTGGTTGATTTTTCTGATGCTCTGTTTAAAAGCTGTTTTAATTTGCAGCAGTTGACAGCAGCCCCTAAAGACCATTACTGCCCTGAGAATCAGGGAGGTCTGGATGAGCTCCAGCCCCACTCCTGAGATGATGAAGAGAAGTCACCATTGCAGGGATTGTTCTGTCACAAGCAGCATAAACTTTAGGCTGTCTTTTACAGGAATAGCATGGAATTTTCTTTATACCACCTGTAAAGTCTCCTGATAATTTCTGATTAAAAGAAAAAACATGATTTTCAGACTGATGGATAATTGCCCCTGGATTTTCAGATTTTCATTTTCAGATACTCAGACCAGTATATATTAATCAGGTCTGATTTCTGAACACAGTTTCTGAAAACTGAGAGTTCCCCTGCTTTTTACAGTTCAGATAACACATGAAAATAACTGATTTGAGGAATTTTAGCATTCAAGATAGCGAGGTTACTTTAGTGGTGTGAAGCTGTAAAATGACAGCCACTGGGGTTTTGCTGAAAATTGGAAATATGAGTGTTAGCAATAAAATTTCTCCACTGCTAAGTAGAGAATGCAGGGTGCTGATGGAGCTGGGCTGCCAAAGGTTGCTTCAGTTGCTGCAGCTTCTTGATCTTTTATTATCTCAGAACATTAAAAGACAGCATTAAATTCGACTTCGTGGACTAGCTTTTTGCAGGGTGGTTATTCTGAGAACCTGACTAAAACCACTGCAATCATTTCACATAGATCACAGAATGGCTGTCAGATGTCAATACCTTCAATTTATACTGAAATAAGCATAGTTTGAATCAGTGATGTTGATCCCAAATCCTCTAGGTTATAGTCTATAATCCTACAAGTTATCATGCCTTAATTTTGGCATGAAATGGGATAACCCAGACTGCTGTAGACTTCTTGCTACTGTAAATGGTGACAGAAGTGTTGGAGGGAAGGGGAAAAGAAGTTTTCATCCTGCTTCAATCCAGTTCAGAAAGTGTCCTTATTTTACCTCATTTCCCCAGAGCCCATGCCAGCCAACATATCTTTGTCACTTCTCCATAAAGGAGCTCCAAAGCTGTGATTATTAGTCAGCTAATGGATGGAGACATTCTTATGGGGCATATTCTGAATTCATAATTTGAATGAATTTGTAACTTGAATTAACTGTAGAGGTCTAACTTCATGCTTTAAACTTTTCCAGAGTCTTTTCAATCCCCTTTTCAAGTGGGATAAAGTTCTGCACTTTTGATACTGCTGTGATTATCACTATTATAGAGGAAGCAAGGAAATAGAAAAATCCCAACCACAGAAGGAACCCCAGGAGTTTAGGACATGTGTTTAGGTATTTTTCCCTCACAGTAAACTTGCCATTATAAATCAAATCCAGCAATCCTTACCTTTTGCCTAGAAACCATCCAGGATTTTATCGTTGGTACCAACAGACTGCCAAGAAGGATCTGAGCAGGATGATAGATGAGCAAAGGGACAGAAATTAAGGACAGGTGTTCATAACCTGCAAATACTATCTTCAGCATGGGAATCCCTGCAGGCAGAAAAACAGGACACAGACTCTCACCTCAGACTTTGAGCTCCAGATAAAAGCAAAACATTTTATGTTGCACTGACATTTAACAATAATTAAAAAAAAAAAGAAATCCCAAAAAATCCCAAAATGAACTGAAATGTTTTATATATTCAAAATCCAACCCAAATGAGCAAGAACACGAATACAAAAAATACATGGCAGAGAAAGTTCTGTGGCAGAAAGGGTGGAGTAGGGAATGCCATAAAAGATCTTTTCTAATTATGCAAATATTGCAGTAAATAAAAACTGCTGCTGAAGACTTGATATACAATACATTCTGCTATAGCACAGCTGTTCAGTTGCTGACCATAGTTCTGTACTGCTTCTTTACTACTTCCTCTCACTGGGCTGTTCTGTGTTTGCATGATTATTCTCCATCCAACCTGCCTAACTCCTGCTTGTAATCTTTGCAACTTTTCTTTGGTCTGTTCTCCACTGGAGGAGGGTCATGTTTTGCTTGTGCATTCCCTCCAGTTGGTGAGCATCCAAATGAGAGCCTTCCCTGCTTTGGCTGGCCCATGAGACAGAAAAGGTTTAGTCAGCTGGGTGAGCAGTATGAAGTGATCCTGCCCACAAAAGAAATAAGCAGCAGCTGGAGTACAGAAGTTGCTAGATGCTGCAAGAAGTGAGTGCTAAGACCTAGAGATGGGCAATTTTTGCCAAGAGCTGGAACTTGCGCTCAGCAGAGCTAATTCTATCAGACACCTCCATGCACGATCTTCCTGCTTGATGATGTGATATGTACAAACAAGTTTTATTCACTTCTGCAGTAATGAAAACAATTATGCCTACTTTGAGCATATTACTGTTCAAAATTATCTGTTTAAATCTTGGAACTTTGCTAGCATGCTCCACAAAGTGCAGGTGTGTACAAAACCTGCAACCAGTTCTGTCCTGCCTGACCAGATATTTGAACAGCTGCCAACAAGAGCAGCTGTGATTCCTCAGGAGCCTCCTGAGAATGCACCTTATTTTCTCTTTCATCTTAAATGTCACTCTAGGAGTCCTCTGCCAGCACCAACCTTGAAGTGAAGCAGACTACACACGGTTTTCACAGAGGTCATCTGAGTGTCTCATTGGAAGGGACCTCAAAGACCATCTTGTTCCAGCCCCCTGCCACAGGGACACCTTCCACCAGACCAGGTTGCTCCAATCCCCATCCAGCCTGGCTCTGCCTTGTCTCCTTTCTCAGCAATGACAAAACATTGTGCCACATACCCTCCATTTCCCCAGGAGGAGATGCGTCAGATCAGCCAAAGCTGTCATATTTATGGAAACTTTTCTTTTTATTGTGGATAAACTCCCATTCTCAACACCATTTCAGGTTTCCTTTAATAACACTGACCACTCCCTTTGTGAGTAAACAGCTTATTTGTCGAATATTACTACTTCACCAGTGCCCCACTGTTGCTGACATGTGTCTGGGCCTGCTGAAATCTTCATGATGTTTCACAGTACCATTTTCTGTAATTATTATTATTATTAGCTTCATCACATTACACCACTAAAAATCTCATGCCTATGCTAGTAGCCTTTACCTATGTGTATGTTTGCAGGGATGGATTAAATCAAATAAAAAAAGGCTTGCATGCTTTATTTCAGAATTTTAACTGCCTTCAAAACAACATCATGGATCTATCACACAATTGCTTATTATTAACATTAATTTCTGGGGTTTGGGAATAAATAGAATGTAGATAGAAATTACACGGGCATTACTATTATATTAAGGCATGTAATTTACCTCAAATGCCCATCATACTGTTTTTATCAACAGATAAAGGTTTTATTGCCTGTTTCCACATCTCAAACTAGCCCTCATGGGTCCTTTTCTATTTTCTAATCACAGAAAAATATACTAGAGTCTCAAGCTATGAACATGCTGTATTTCTGTTTGTAAGACAGTACCTGGTGTTTTGGTAGTGCAATTTCATCCACAGATCCAAAAACATTTTAGAAAGCTGAAGAGGGCTCCTACAGAGAATCAGAAACACTACAGTGACTAGCCTAAGATCACACAGAAACTAATGGCAGAGACATGAACAGAATGCATCCAAAGTGACTGAGACATGCTTTAGATAACTGTATATTTTCTGAAAGAAATAAAAGAAATTACAGCTTAAAAGGTAAATTCTCTAGAGGAAAACTATTTCTGTAAACTAGGAAAAGAAAATTAAAGTTGTCAAATATAAATACAAAATACTATAATTAGTGTGACAATATAATTAGATCACTGGATAGAAAGAGGTTCTTAATTCACAGCTTGTTTAAATACATGTCACAACAACAGGTTCTTGGAAGCTACTAATGTGCAATTAAAGTTCATATTATTTCCCAGGAAATGCTAACTAGTGAAAAGAAGAAATACTAATCATTTTTGCAGGTAAGGACTAGTCTAATGGAAAGAAAAGAAACCCAACCTTGTTGCCTTTTTATGCACTTCCTGATCTTTATAATTCCAAGTTTGCCAGTATGCAACTCTCTCGGAAAATATTTTGTGACAGAGATCCCCATAGTGTAGTCACAAATGCTTGTGTCAGTAACATTACCACAAAGCTGAACTAAACAGCATGAGTGTTATTTATTTTTAAAAATGCCATCTAAACTTTTTAGTAGCAATATGTAGTAGCTGCAAGCATCAGTATGACTGCCAATGTTTTCCAAACATATAAAACCCATGCAAATAACTAATTAGGGAAAACATACTCTAATAGTTACTTCTACCTCTTTTAAAATGAAACACAAAAACAACTACATTTTTCTCAGATATATATATATATATATACATATATAAAAATATAAATATAATAACACTTGGGAGAAAAACAAACACTGAAGGCTCATGCCATGAACACCCATTCATGCTGCTGTGGTTTATGGAGTGACAAGCTTCCAGCAATCTAGTTCAATTCTCTGCCAAAGACCCTCACTCACTAAATATCATGCGACCTGAATAACACAGTTGTCTTCTGTGCTTTGGTGCTAAGTTGGTCAGCTTTGCTCAAAGTGGGGATTTAGCAAGATTCCCATCTTCCTCCAAAGATAGGAGTGGGATGAGACAGCAGCACCTCACCTGACTAGAACTACAGAGAGCTGCAGCAGAATGGAGAAAAACCAAAGATTGTTCCACAGGTATCCCTTCCAAACAAGATCATTGGTATTCCAAGATTTTTACCCCAAATTTCCCTCTTCTGCTTTGTCTGGGTATGTTTCTCTTACTGGTGTTCCCCCATGTTCCCATCTTCCTCCTTGCCCTTTGGCCCTGGTGTTCAGAGGCTGTTTTTCTATTTGTGTTTTCTCCCTTCCTCCTTTTCCCTCCTCCACTCCCATGCTTTCAGTCTCCAAGGGTTTGCTTCCCAAGACCTTTGATTCTACTCCTTGCAGCCATGTAAGTTTTGGGTACTTCCACTAAAATCACTCAGCTCCACTAAGGGCACCAACGTCACAGTCCCACTGCAGCTGAGAGAAGACAGGCCTGTAACAAGGAGCACGTTTCGGTTTTCTCCCTCTCTTGTGTCCTCACTCAGCTCTTTTTTTTTTCCACATTAAGCCCTTTGCAAACCTGAGGAAAGCAAAGGAAACACTGTTTATCCTTGACCTTCAACAGCAGCAAGGAAGAGTGAGAGCGCTGCTCTTGCGGCACAGAAAGCCCTCTTTGCTCTCCATGGCTCCAGGGTGTTCCAGTTTGGCTCCAAGGCTGTAGGTTATCAGCCCTGGCCAAAGGCCACTGCTTCTCTAATAACCTGCTCAACTGAAAGCTACTTAATCCTTCCCCCAGTGTGCACCCAGTATAGCCTCCCACATCCTCCCCTTTCCCCTTTGCTACTTCCACATTTCCTAAAAGGCCCATGAAAACATTATGCTGCACTTCACCACATTTAGTTAACTGTAAAATGATAATAATAAAAAACCCTAAAAGATTTGAAGGCATTTTAAAGATAATTTAAATATAGGACTCTTTTCATCTAGCTATCACTGCAGTAATATAAATGAAGCAAATTAATTTTAATGCTCCAAGGTTCTGATTCTGTGTCACTGTCACTGACAGGATCCAACTAGACTTTATGAGATGGCATTTGACTTTATGGAAGTGAGCACTGTGCACGCATTTACAATTTTACAGGGACTTTAAGCTGTCATGCTGAAAAATGTTTATAAAACATTAATCAAAAAATGCCTCTTTAATACAATGCATTGTCTGAAAGATGTTAGAAGGCACATATTGTAAATGGATTCTTTTTCTGACTAAAGTAATTTCTACCAAAAGCCTTTCCCCACTGCTATACAAGTACACAGTGTGGAGAGATAAAGAGCACTTTCTCAGCACATTACTACCTGATCCAAACACTTGGGAAATCACTAATGTACAGCATGCCATATTTCCATGTCACACATGACACATTTGTCTAAAATTACCCAACAGAGTTTGACATTGCAGCATATTCCTTAGCAGAGCTTTCAACTGACATCTGCCAAGTAAGAACTTCAAGTAGGAGCTTTCTTCCTCTAACAAGCAAGTAAGAGTTTTCTTTTATCCTATACCCATGATGGAAATGATAAAACAATAAGTACTGGAAATCAGGGTTTTTTTTCCTATTTTAATATGTTTATTTTATGCTCACTGGCTGTGTAAGCTTCTCTTAAAGCACTGTTTCATCATTTGCTGTTTTCTATCACATTGTAATGGGTTCAGAGAACTTAATAGAACATTTTTATTACCACCAAAACACAGGCCATTATCTCTCACACCCAAAGCAGAGTTATTGCTAGTGCTCTACAGCCATACTTCACTGTATAGGTTTTTTCCCTTCCATGTCTTCATAGCAAACAATTTATCCTAAACCTTTATTGCTTACATTACTGAAACACATTCCGCATCACAAAAAGCTGCAGCATTTCTCCTCAGGAAAAGAGATTTGGGGCAAAACAGAGAGGTCATCCTAGGGCTATGGAACCAT